AAACGGCCCTGCTCCATGAGCTTCTGGTGGCTAGGAGGAGGGCCAACCATCCTCGATCTCAGGGGGACCCCCTAAACCCTAAACCCTAAACCCTAAACCCTAAACCCTAAACCCTAAACCCTAAACCCTAAACCCTAAACCCTAAACCCTAAACCCTAAACCCTAAACCCTAAACCCTAAACCCTAACCCTAAACCCTAACCCCCCTGCCCCCCCGCCCCCCCACCCGCAACGTTTTTGGTATTTGCCGATGCTCTCGGGCCTTCTACCATAAAAAGAACCCCCAAAGTGTTGTGTTGCAGGCCACACAAAACCTGCAAAACAGCTAGTTTTCACTTCTGAAGAAGACCATGCCAAAAGCCGAGCACATGCGCCAAGCAGCGTCAGCACGTCTGCGATCGGGATCACCCACATCCTTTCGTTGGCCCGCGACCGCAAAGAAGCCCCACCCTCCTCCTCGCTCCCAACAGCAATAAGAAAAGAAACCTCGAAACTCATCTACTCTTTGTTGTCTAAACCTCTGCACCCTGCTCTGCCTCAAGGCCGAAACCGAAATGCTAGCTCTTCAAAACCCGAAACCTCTAACTAAGCCCACCCTCAAGAACCCAGAACCTACGATTTTGTAGGTTATTACTCTTAGCTTACCCTACATTTTTGTCGGTTTTGGGTTGAGGAACTCACGGGCCGGATGCCCAGGGCTCAACACAAAGTCTTGCACTGTAGGAGCTTGAGGCGATGACAAGAACGATGACAAGAACCTTCGGGACCAAATGAATCCTACAGTTGGGGTCATAGACCCTAGGCTAGAGGGTTTAGGGTTTAGGGTTTAGGGTTTAGGGTTTAGGGTTTAGGGTTTAGGGTCTCCAACCCACATAACCCCTATTGGTTTAGGGGCCTGCCACACATCGGCAGTACTCAGGGTTTAGGGTTTCAGGTCCACCATGGACAGCGCAGCTCGGAAACAGCCCCAACCACTCCGAATTCTTCGAGCTCTGTACCCTAAACCCTTCACCCCAGAACCCTGTAAAGCTGGGATACTGCCCTGAACCCCCCTGAACCCTAAACTCCCATAAACTTTGTAGTTATTTAAATCAAAAAAACCTTGCAATGAATGTTGGGCTACTACACTCGGAAAAGTTACTCCCCTGAACCCTAAACTCCCTCAAACCCTGATCCCGGAACTGAGCGCGAGCAAGCCTAAACCCGTTTTGCAACTGACCTCAAATCCAAAACCCTTTTCTTCAGCTAGCCTATCCCTAAACCCTAAACCCTAAACCCTAAACCCTAAACCCCAAACCCCCAAGCTTTCGAACTCTGCGTCCGGACTTGAAGAAGAAAGGCAGGCTGAATCTGTTGCCAAGAGTCGGCGCGTGCTGCTGATGCTTCCGCACGTCCTCCCAAGGGGAGTTTAGGGTTTGGGGTTGAGGGTTTAGGACTTAGGGTTTAGGGCTAAGAGGATCCTAAAACCTACGCCCTACACCTTAGATCCCTAAACCCTTCACCCTCCGAGCCCTACACCGCCAACGCTGTCGCGAAGCGAGCCAAGCTGGGAAGCAGGGCACAACCGTGGGCACACTGCAGACCATTTCAGCTGCTGCTGCA